TACATTAGTAAAATAATATATTTAGCTTAATATTTATTAGAATCTTTTATATTTTTAATCATAATTATCATCTATTTGTTTATAAACAAGTTTTGCACGATAGCGAAAAACAATGAACATATCTACTAGTAGTAAATACTCATGAATGAGTCGAATATCATCTTACAAATATCGATACCTCGAATTTTCAGTTTGTATGCAATTATATATTTTATTTTTAAAATATGACATTTAACTTTGTTAAAAATTTGTATTACTTAAATTAAGAATAAAGAAAATAGAAAATTAATGAAATAAATAATGCAAATCAACGATTTAATCAAAATTTTAATTTAAATTAGCATTTTTTTTTTCAAGTATATTGTTAATTACAATACACATGCTTTTTATTGTATGAATTTAAATACTAATAAATGATAGCAAAAAAAATTGAGCTTATGGACAGTAACAATCCTACCGTGGCGCTATCACGTGGTAGAACGTGAAGTTTGAAATCAGATTCATTAATCAATACACGTTACATTCATGCGTTTCTACTGACAATGATACATATTTAAATCATGTATGTATTAAAATAACAATTAAAAAATACTATGTAATTATTTATAAGCTAAATAAAAATTGTATTAATGTACATAAGTAGTACAGACTTCATTATCTGTATACTGTTCCGTAGTATCGCAAATTAAGGTACGTAATCTAAAGAAAAATTATTCTTACCGTACGGTTAGTTTATTTACTGGTTTCAAGATGTTATGTATTTTAATACCATTCATAGTGGTTATACACTTTTAGAAAGTATTAAAAAATTGACTTCTTAATTAAGGAAACATTTAATATTTAATAAATTAAAAAATACTACCTTGTAATACATTTACACATATACACGTCTCAAATTTCAGATGACAAAGTTAATGGAGTGGCTTTTATTTGCTACTTTATCTTTTGGCATATGGATTGCTGTAATTACAGAAAGTGTTAGTTCATCTTTTATTGAAGAATGGCAACAACTTATTCTTTTCTTTCCACTCATTGCTTTATTCTTGTGCGGTCTGTATGCATCTATTACTATTTTATACAGGGTGTTCACATTTCATAATTGTGAAAATGCTGCTATTGAATTGCAGGAAGTGAGTATAAAAATTAATGTTGCACATTTTATTAAAACTAATATGTAAGGATTATCATAAACAAAGTAATTAATAAATTTCTTCTATATCTTTTTAGCAAATAGAGGAAGCTAAAAAAGATCTTCAAAGTAAAGGTGTGGTCTTGAAGGGCAAATGAATAATTGACATATATTTATATCATCTAAATCAAATAATGCAATAATACACAATCATCCTACTAATATAGGTTATATTTGTACATATTTTTTATAATGATAAAAAGTTTGAATTACAGAAATTAAAAAACTATATCATAAAAAAGTGTTTTTGTTTACATGATAGCAAAGAAAGCAATCATGTTCAATAACAGTTTCATTTGTAATATTTTATTATTTTTGGCATTTGACATAATGAAATCTAAGTTAATATATTTCTGTAACATAATGTTGATGTGTTTCAACTACCTGTAACAAATGAATCTTTAAGGCAATTTCTAATTATTATTACATAATAATAAAAAGTTAATCCTATAACAAAACATTAAAACATATAATGTTTTTTACATACATATGTATGTGTAATAAAACAAAAATATATTCTAATCCTCAAAATTTAACTTAACTATGCTTATATGTATCAAAACAGGGAAACTAATATATTCATTTGTGCCTAGACTCATAATTTTTATTTATTAAATATGCAATTTTGTAGTAATTATTTGTTTTACATTGGGTGTTATATTTCTAATAAAATTTTAATATCAATACTAGTATCTTAAAAATTCGAACGATTTCTAATAAGTTACATATTACTATGTTAAGGCTACAACATATTGAATGCATTTTTATAATATTAATAATCTCATTGCCTCCATTTTTATAGAAAGTTAATTACAAATTTTTTTTATAGATTCATACTTTTTGTAAGTCACCTTGAGTTTATCTATTTAAGATATTTCGTGTACGTTTATCTCTTATTATTATCTAGTCATAAGTTATTCGAGCTTTTTTAAATGAAAAAATGGATTGATATCGAGGTCAAAGCAAATTTAACATATATATATATATGTTACTTAAATTTTCATTTTTCTTTCACTTGAGAATTTCTTACATTTTGTTATTTTGTGATAAATGAAATGAGTTTCAATGTGTTATTAATGGATAACTATCTTCACCACTTTTGTTTAAAAAATACAAGACTTTTTTATACATACATACATAGGCGCAAGTTATACGCAAGTACACACATATATACATATGCAATCATACATATACGGATGCACTTACATAATTTTTATATCAGAAAGCCTATTAAATGTACAAAATATACTTGTCATGTACACACATACGTTTTGAATACACATATATCTTTACTTGTGTATACAAATTTGCATGTATGTGTAATTATACAATAGCTCTAACATATAAATACAATAAAGTATTTATATTTTTGTATACTAATCAGTAAACAAGCAGGCTTTCTTACATAAAAATGTAATTACACTGCTCCATATATTTAAAAAACGAAAAGTTTCGCCAAAGAGTAATTTTCAGACTGCAAGGATGGATAACACTTATGTAAAATACCAAATTTCAATCTCAAAATACATAAAACATAATATAAAGTATATTTTTTTAAGTAAATTACAAACAATTTAATACATGAAGTGGTATGCAGTTTCGGTGAATTTTATCATTTGCCAAATATATCAATGTAGGATTGATGCCTATCTAGAGAATTAATACAATAATATAAATATGTGTGCATACTTATATACAAAGTAAAGATGACCAGTTGAACATAACATGGCGCCTGTGTAATTACCCACCCTATATCAGTCCTTTAACTCCTTATTGTGAAATCAATGAAATGTGTTACTTCAGTCATCAAGATTTTGTGACAGCAAGAAATTAGCAGCAAGGTTTTCATTCTTTTCACACGCAAAATATGCTTGTACAACTAAATGCTCCGGAAATCCTAGTGCCTTCAACCTTTCAATAGCTTCTTTATCCTGTGGTGTTATCTGAATTATAGAAGTTTCTACCTCCGTTCCTATTTCCATACCTGCACCAGGCCCTCCACTTATTCCACCAGGAGCAGCTGCTGGTGCAACAGTAGATGCAGATACAGGTGTAGTTCTTCCTCCAGTACTACCAGTTGTTTCCACTACTCCAAAATAAAATACACATCATATTTACATAAACAGACAAATAAATAAAACATTATCTTCATTTTAGCAGATACCAGAAACTAACCAGGCTCATTAAGCATGCGTATAAATGCTTCTTGATTTTGGGAAATAAGCTGTAACAATGCAGGATTGGTTTGACCAATTTGTTGTAGTACAGCATTCAATAATTGAGGATTTTGTTGAATGACTTGACGCATTTGTTGAAATTGAGGCTGTGTCCGTAAAAATGCTAACGGAAGTTGGCCATGGTCTTGAAGTTGTTCCTGTGCTTCAAGTTGATCTTCTGGTAAATCTTCGAAAAGCTGCGCTGGTATACCCGTTAAAAGATATTCAACAGCCCTATCAGGATTATTGAAACTTGCTCTTAGCGCTTGTTCAACTTGTTCACGTTCGTATCTAATATAAATGAATTATGTCAGTACACCATACATTAAGAAAAACAATACTTAAATAATTGTACATTTTTTTATCACACATGTATCTATTTACCCCATATCCACAATATTGTTCACCATTGTATTATAATCTTCACCCATTAACAAGGCACTTTCAGCTTGACCTCCAACACATGCAGTAGTGGTACTTGCTGCAGATTGCTCTTGTACAGTAGTATTAGCAGGGTTTGATGCACCCTGAGCAGTAGGATTTGAACTAGGTTGTGCTGCTGAGCTACGGCAAAAAGTATATATTAAAAATATAAAGTTAAAAAATGTTTTACATTAAAAATGAAATGGAAATTTCTTGCGGTATTGTGAGTTAATACCTGGTTGTACTGCTTTCTTCTTTAGTATCCGCACTTGCGTGCTCTTCTTCAGTTGTTGTATGACCATTACCAGTTTTAAGTTTTGTTACCATAACAACTATAAATTTTTTTTCATCTATATTATACTTTGTTAATGGATGATCATCCGTTAATATTTTTCCTGTAAAAATAGCATATTATTAAATAGGTATACATTATCATCGTATGAAAATAATAATACTCATTAAAAATAAATATAGCTCTAATACTCTGCAACTTTTAAATTTGGATTCTTGTAAACAATAGTTATGAAAATAAATTTAAAAGAAATGACTAATCTTCAAGCACGTAAAAACATTGATAAATTCACAATGAAGTGAAAATAAGGTTATGTAAGCCATATCGCTCACCAGCATATATTAATTTCTGGTATTTAGCAGGAAAACCTTTCTGAGTTTCGATCTTTTGTTTCAAATCCCTTACCTGCAAAAAAATATAATTAAAATATATTGCATTTTAAAAAGCCACATATTTTACATTTACTATATTCACTTACCGTTTGCGATGGATCAATTTCTACTGTAAACGTCTGCTGTTGTAAGGTTTTTAGTGTTATAATCATGTTGAAAGGTAAAAAATTAGTGGTACGTTGTCAGCTGACAAAGGAAACTTTGAAGGATATGGTTTAATAAGGGTATAGAGATGTTTTGGTAAATCTTTTCAGCGATGAGTCGGCACTGCTTAAAGCAACTTACAAATGCTTAACTCGGACTAGTATGCAGCTGAAAACATATGATGACATAAAGCAGTGTTTTCAATCATGAACAATTGAATACATAAGGTTTGTACTAAAATAAGGCTGTGTCGCTTCAAATTAATATTAATTTAGTTTCCACTAATTGTGGTAAAACAACACTGATATATTGTAACCTTCTGTAAAGTACATTTTCTACAATCATCTTACAATAAATAATTTATGTATTGATAAATAATTGCATGTCTTCATTGTTCGTGTTGTTTAAGTCCTTTCCTTATTTTCTATGGTGTCCTGAAAGGTCCATCTGTAATTCATGCAAAAAATATTCATTTTTTAATTTTTAATAAAAGTTATAAGCAATTTCGAACTAATCTACTGAATGCAATGGATAATTCAATGCAAAATTAATATATAAAGCTGTTTTATTAAGTTAAAGCATACAATAATTTTATTTAAGATTTCCAATAATTATAAACAACCACCTAAATTGTTATTTAACAAGAAACGCTAATTATTCTATAATTAAAGTACTTGAAAATAAACCAGAAACTGTATTTTTCTATCTAGATTATTAGTAATGCTAAAACGAGGGTAACAATAGCGAAGAGAGACAAGGAAAGGATAGTGGTAGACAAGGATAGCACTAGAACAACGAGTTAGAAAAGGAAAGAAATTGGTGTAGAGAAGGATAGCACTAGAGTAATAAGTAAGACAAGGAAAGCAATAGTAATAGCCAAAGGACAGAAAATTTCAAAGGTGAAACTAAGCCATTTCGTGTTTGGTAACGCGTACTACAACTTTTTAATAGGAACACAGAATATCAACAGAGGTATTAGACAAGGAACGCACTAGTGTGCGAGAAGGATAGAGAGAAAACGTTTCCTATTAGTCCATTGGTCGCTAAGCTTCGCCTCCCAGGTCCTAATACAAGTCGGTCGGTGAAAAATCATTAACAACTCAATAATTACGATGATTTTATGAACTTTTAGAATTGAAGAATGAAGTGTGAATCTTTAGCAACTTTCTCATATAGATTTTAATACTCTAGATCCTTTCAATGATTAATTATTAATAATTGTAGTACGGGATGTCGGGAACGATACTGCATACTTTTACGGTTTTTCAATAATTTCATACCTTCTACTAAATTCTCATACAAATAACTATATACATCTGAAAGGCATCTCCTTTAGCTACATTCTCATATAATTTTTATTAACATGTTCCTTGTGGTTTGATAGCTATTTAACATTCTTTGCATGAAAAGTTGTTAATGATTTTTCACCGACCGACTTGTATTAGGACCTGGGATGTGAAGCTTAGCGACCAATGGACCAATAGGAAACGTTTTCTCTCTATCCTTCTCGCACACTAGTGCGTTCCTTGTCTAATACCTCTGTTGATATTCTGTGTTCCTATTAAAAAGTTGTAGTACGCGTCACCAAACACGAGATGGCGTTAGTTTCACCTTTGAAATTTTCTGTCCTTATCTCTTGCTATTCCTTTCCTTGTCTAATTCATTTCTCTAGTGCTATCCTTGTCTACCGCTATTCCTTTCTTTGTCTAACTCATTTCTCTAGTGTTATCCTTGTCTAACCCTATTCCTTTCCTTTAACTCGTTGTTACAGTGCTATCCTTGTCTAACTCGTTGGTCTAGTGCTATCCACTCTTGTGTAACTTATTTTTACAAATAAATGCATATAGGTAAATGAAAAAATATTATTGTGACATTTTTATTTGTATATTTATACATTTGCGTGTGACTAGAGTAAAACTAAAGGTATTCCACAATAAACTATAATTTTAAATAGACTGTAATAATACATTATACATTAAATGAAATTTAGTGATGTATTAAGATACACAAAAATTTTATCATTTCTATTTCAGTATTACATGTAAAAAACTTTTTTCTAAAAATTAACTCGACATTTAAAATATGATAATAACGTTTATCTTTTACAAGAAAAGAATTATATTTATAACTTTCATTGTTAATTAAATGAATTTTTTAATCGAATTATTCAACTTGATAGAGTTATGTTAAATTGACAAATTTTCATACATTAAGGTGTATTTCTTAATGATATTATTATTTTGGGTATTTCAATACATGTACATGAAAAATATATAAATATTAATAATTATAGTTGAATATCCATATACCATTGATTATGTTCCTGCAATGTAATTATATCTATCTTATTGTGCATAAATACTGTGTTATGTTTACACATTTTCTTTTTATGAAATTATATTATTATATATTAACACTTTTTTTTAATTATATTATATTGTATAACACTTACAAATTAAATGCAGAATATCCAGAATTTTCTTCAACTTTTGTAATAACTATGCAAAATTATTCTTGGTATGGTGTATTTGGAGTCACATTAATCATATCTGTTGCACTATAAAACATATAACAAAATTATATGATAAAGTTAAATAAAGTTCACAATAAATTTTTAATATAACACTATTAAAGTATTCGTTAAATTGCAAGCTTAATCTTACAAAAAAAAATTCATTCAATCTATGCAAATAAAATATTGTGATTAATTTGTAACAAAACTTCTGCTATAACATAATGAATGTTCTACATCTTACCTTCTAACCAAGTACATGCTATGAATATTTCCATTCATTTTTAAATTCTATACACTTAAATATAAATCTTTTATATGCTGATAAAAGTCTAATTTTTTCAAAGTAATTTAAATAATTCTGGCAGAATGTATATAGAAAATGATACTATACTGTACCATGACCTTAATGTTAATTAATTTTTATTATACATCAATTTCAAATGGTATAATGTTACTAAATATAACGTATAATGTATAAAGCATATTTATGAAGCAAATAATACAAAAAGTGAGCAATGTAAATTATTAATATGATTCATGAATAGTTATATAATAATTTAAAAACTTGTAAAGAAAAGACAATTGATTTAATATACAACTACATACATGATTGACTTAAAATTAAAATTTATGTTCATAAAATATGAATTAGGTAACAAAAATATTTATAACAAATCAACAAGACACAAATATTTAAAAAATATTTACAAAGCCATATCACAAGTAAAACTACATTAACATTCTTGCAGGATAGACATAACACAGTATCACAAACACTTACAAGAACAATTATGGTGCCCTAAGCATACTTTGTTGCAGTCATCTTTACATTAGTTTGCTGTATAACATACATTATATAACAGTTTATTGTGAAATTTTAATTGAAAAAAATATATATGTATATATATATATATATATTATGAATTGTGCTGAAAATGATATAATTGCGATTTGTAAAATTTTCGTAATTGTTAAAAACTCGTTACATTATAGTGATTAATAAATGCATTTACTGTCAAGTTTATCTTTCAATTATTTATTTGAAAGAATATACTGCACAATGAAACAAGACATAATAGTTTTACATACTTTTAAACAAATGTTTTCAATCTTTTAAAGTAGCTTGATAGTAAATGCAACAATGTGATAAATGCAGATGACAGAAAAATTGTATTCACCTTTCTATGTACTATATCATTATATTTTTAATTTTTTTTAAATTCATTTTTAAAGCAACTGCATTTTTTAATTCTTTTAATCAAAGCCTCTTTTAAGCATAACACCATATAGTGAAAAGTGAAAAAAGAAAAGTTAAATTTAATACATAAAATGGATCCTTACCTTTTAGAGCATTTGATGTGTATTATTAATAGTGTAATGCCTAACAATAAACAAATACATCCTACAACTATATAAGCAATACCAAGAAAAGGATTCTTTCCACCAAGAAGGGATGTAGTGCTTAAAATCATTCTTTTTCTGCCATCAAAGGCAGATACAGGATATGCTATAGAAAAAAATTAAATTATTTTTAACTTATAATTGGTGTTAGTAATTTTTACTTACTATAGGTAACAGTAAGTGTATAATTCCCTGCTAATAGACCTTCAGTGAAACCAGCTGCTGTGTGATCAACTCTGCGATAAAGTTTTCTGAAAGTAGGTAATGCTGCAGTTCTCATCCAAACAATTAAATCTTCATTTTGGAAACCATTATTGTTTTCATTATATGGATCTAACTCATAAATAGGTTTAGTCCAATTCTTTGGTTTTGCAAAATGTTTAAATACTTCACTTAAATTACCACCAGGATTTCTAAATTTAATGTTCTTATCTGAAGGCCATGCTATACCAGTTTTTAATAATGGTACATCTCTACCATGTTTCACAGAATGTAATTTCAATTCATCACTGAATAATGAATTAGCAATAGCACCACATGGTACAATAGGTACGCCATTATCATAAGCAAATGGTTCACAATCACCTGAGACAATATCACTTAATTTTCCTAATAACTGATTGTCATCTCTTGATTTTACATATCGCCTATGATTTTGATAGAAATTAGTCAAACCATAATACATATATATTTTCCCATTAAAGTCATAAGGTAATGTGAAATTTAGTTCACAGTAACAAGGTTCTGTACGATTAATTGCTATAACATCTGCACATTTGAAAGGCACTCCTTTTGCACGAAGTATGTTTGTAGAATTACAATCTGTATAGTCTAAAATATATTCTTTGACTTGGTCAGAAAAATAAAGTAATCCAACTCCAACTGGTATAAAAGCAATTCCAATTACAAAAAATGTTGGTAACACAGTTCCAGCAGTAAGTATTGGTTGCCAAGCAGGTAAACGTTGCTGTTTAAATGCACTATCTGTATAAATAAAACATTATTTGATCTTAAATATTTATATAAAACTTACATATTATACACAAACTTTTATAATAAAAATAAAATATAAAAAGAAAAAAAGTAAGGTAAGAATTTAATTTATCAATTATACAAGTAAATTTTTGTATTTTCACATAAAGAATTAAACAACTTGCATTTCTATTATCAAATTAAACTTTTAATAAGATTTTTACATGTATACTAAATAAGACAGAATAAATATAACCTAACAAAAAATGAATTTCTATATAATAAACTTACCCGATGGTTTTTTCGTTTTAGGTAACGAGCCAATTTCACTAATAGAAGTCATACTTCTTTTTTGAGGTAATAACTTCTTTTCTTCTTAGATTTTAACACCTGAATACTGTCATTTGCAAAAGCTATTACAGTATCAATTACTTATCACACACTTATAGTGACACAACATAGAGTAATAACGAATACGACCGACACGTCAAAATTAAACACATGTATTTTAAATTGAATGTAAAATTACTTTTATTATTTACAAAAACTATACCTTCAAAAAATTAAAAATTGTTCATAATAATTTGAGCTTTAAACTTATGTTACAAATGTATTATAGGTTCTT